TAATGGCTCTTCCTGTTAATTAAATATAAGGGGTTTGTTAAAACAGATAATAGGGTGACTTGTTATGAGTATAATGGCACTTATGTTAAACATCGTAAATGTACCTGTATACCAAAATTGATAGCAATTTGCTCATGGCTTTCAGGCTTTGGAGTAAGATGAAACTGGAAGGAATAGCAAGCTTATAATATTTATGATTATCTCCTTTATTTTTTTCAAATGTAAAACTGCTTGTAACTAAGTAGCTTTATAGTTCTGCTTAGCATATCTATCTTTGTTTAAAAACATTCCTATACCTAGTCTTGTTCGTCTTAAAACTGTCCAAAAGATAAGATAGATTACTGAATACGGTGACACTTGATGATTTTGGACTGAAGCCTAAACTGAAAACAGTACTATCAAATGACTGAAGCGGCAAGGTGTTATAGGCATTCACACAAATGGGCAGTATCCCTCTGTTGTCCAAATGTTTCTAGTAATGATCATAGTATATTCCTTATTTCTGTGTCTTTTAAGAAAGAATCATGGCTGCCTGCCTGTATTTTTATACTTGTTTAGAGTACATTTGCTTTGTATGTAAGATGTAACCCATATGATCCTGGAAAGAGCTTGAGACATCTACCTTTCTTTTTCATTACCTTTTAAACTAGTATTGGATAGTAAATGAGAGCAAGGCTAGACTTATGTTAGAATCAGGTTAAAGAAGTTCACTGCAGCTTTTGGTAGCACAGTATTCAAAAGAAAAATGTAAATCATGTGCATTGCTGGAAGAAAGGCTGTGCTGGACTATATAAATGCAAGCAGCAAGGTGCATTCATAAAACAACTCCTTTTTGTATTAGTTGCTAGTATGAAGGAAAGTGCTGTTTAATTAGAAACACAAATAAAAATACTTCATGACTACAGTGCAACTTTAAATATGAATCGGAAATTGCAATCTGTAGCTGAAACAATAGTATTCTTTCAGTGTTACTCTCTAAATTATTAACTTTTTTTACTTCATTCCATGAAACAGTGGATAATAGAGACATTTTTCAGATGATACTGGTATGAAGATTTAACAGAAAGCAAATATTCTTGATTACAGTAATGTGTAAAGGGAGAGCTGTACTCCCTGACTGCTGTACCACTTACTTAGAAACACCTCAGTCATCTCAGATTTGTTTTTTGTTCTGAAAGTCAATCATCATTTTTACACCAGCAGCACTTGCTCTTTAGAAGAAACTTTTTACTAAAACAGAGCTTGTGCCAAAATTCCTCTGTGTTTTGATGCTGGAAATTGAGTTTCTAGTCACAATTTTTAAAAATAAAATTACATATTTTGGTCCTGTGTCAGTAAATAACTACAGTAAAAGTTGATACTTGAATTGCAGTATTTGTGCAGAAATAAGGAAAATGGGGCAGAAAGAACTGGGATCCACTAACTGTTCTGTATTGGCTGCAGTTTTGTATGCATAGAGCTAGGACAAGAAAAAAAAATCCTTTTTCCTTATCCTAAAAATAAAATACTAATTTGGGACAGTGCCTTTTGCAATGTTGAACTCTGTTAGGTGTGTCAAAGCAGCAATACCTTAGCTTAGTAATAGGAAGAACTGAGTCAGGTGTTTGACATCATGCTTTCCAGAAATTAGTTAGTGTGGGATTTTTCTTTTAACATATTTTGTGCTGATGGGAAGAATGTTCTCTAATAAAGATACAGAACTTAAAGGGAAGGTAAGCCCATTACTTACTAGTTCAACTTCTTACCAAGAATAAACTAACCATGGGCAGGTATAACATCGTTTTAACTGTCCATTCTAGCAAAAAAAACAGTAAAGAGCATCTGGGTATGTTGTGGTAGAAAAATATGCTACTGATTTTTCAAGTAAATTTTCACTACTGACTTTGCTTCAGATACTAATGCATAAAAAATAAGGTGAAGTTGAGTGATCTTGAGAATAACCAATTCTGCTAGTTTACGGAAAGTTAAAATGGTAAAAAGTTTTAAAAACATTGTTTCTATGGCAATAACCTTAATATTTCTTGGACTTCAAGGTACGATTTCAGTCTAATTGCAGATTTTTGTGTAGTCCTCATTGAAAGTACTGACAAAAACTAACTTTTCTGAAGAAACTCATGCATGCGCCAAATCTTGTATATGGGTTGAGCATCCTTTTATATAAGGATAACAGGTAACTAGTCTTCAAGTTAACTGCGGAACTGTGTACTTGAACATAAACCCTTTTTTAAGATTCAATTAAACTACTGCTAAATCGTGTTGGTGGATGCGCTTTTTTGAGGGCTGTGAGAGTGCTTGCAAAGCTTTTGCTGTGGGACCACATCCCATCAGTACAAGCAACTATGGGAGTTGAGGTTGTCTTGTAGTTGATTACTGACAGAACAAATGCTAGGCAAGGAGTGAATGTAAATGTTTCATTCTGTCTATTTGGAGAGACGAAATCAGAAGCTGTGCTTTTTTGCTTCATATTTTATATGTTGGTTATAGGTTGTATGTGTTAAATTTTTATTAGAATTTGAGCAACACTTACTGAAAATTGGAGTATGTCAAAGCAGCATCGTATCACAGTAGTGACACTGCAACTACCGCTATCATGGACACCATGTTGTAATGTTGCTTGGACCGTTTGTGTTTTCAGTTTGTCGTAATATCTGATTGTTTACTACTTGGGGAAGAAAAGGCATCTGGTATAGAAAAAATATCTGACACTTTAATCTTTCTTGATTAATCTCTTAAAGGTAATGAGGAGCCTTTCTAGGGCAGGGTAATCTGTAATACTGTTTTCGCTTTGTTTACAGCAGGAAGTAGACTGTAAAGAGAAATGATAAGACAGCATTGCAGATGTCAAAAGATGTGAAACCATACTGAGTGAGACTAACTTGTATTCTTAAAACACAATTATCCTGTAACCTGCTTGGCTAAACCTACTTGGTTAGATACTAATGCAGTGATGATGGCGCAGGGACATGCCTCTGTTGTTGGGTTTTCATAGGTATCATAAATGTACTGTGACCTGGCAGAGGAGGGAAATATGTAATTGAATTTTTGAGTGCTTTGAAGTTGTATTGTGGCTTCGTCTAGGAATGTAGAGTACTGTGGACATGTAAATTTTCCACTTTCTACCTGCAAGGGATAGGGAAGTGACAAGTGGTATAAACAGGACCCCTTGTGAGGATTCTTTTGGCCAGAATTATTAAATTTTGTGGGTATGTTGGTAGCAGTTGTTAACTTGAGGGAAATTGGAATTTGTTATGTGCCTAGCAGCTTTCACTGTATAAATAAACAAGATCAATTAAAGGCATTACTGCGTGAGTGAAGTCCTTGCAGCTTGGTTTTTCAGTTCTTACTGGTCCATGGCATTCATCATACATGCTGTTCTTTGTATTAAAATTTTGTAGAACAAAAGAGACTAATTATATGAGAGACTAAGTTGGCTGTGTTCTCTTACGAAGGCATTTAAATGACAGTTGGAGAGTAGATAGTCTAAAAGTATTGTGTCTATGGATTACTCTTAAATGAGTACTATTTAAATTAGTAAACAATTTTCCTTTAACACAGATAAAGAATAGTTCAATTCAGTCAACCTTTGCTTAGCGGAAGAATTAAAAAAAAAACAAACACCAAAACAAAGTAAAAACAAAACAAAAAAAACAAAACCAAACACCAAACAAGCCCCCAAAAAAACCCTCTAAATGCTTTTTAAAAGCTTAGAGAAGGAAAGCTTTTTCAGAACCTGCTGCAAATACCTGCAGATTGCAGGATGACTGCAGACTAGTGCAGGTTGTGCCTACAGTCTTTTCTAAACAAGATACCTTCCTGTACCAGAAACTAGGCCTAGTATTTTTTAATCTTTTTTTTTTAAAGTTGGATTTCTTTGAAGTAAATAAAAAGGTCTGCTATTTAGCATCAGAAATATTCTGTAGTAATTTATAAATACACAATTTATGTGTATACATTCAAACACATTATCAAAATAATGTTTGCATTTTAACGTACTTTTATGTTCTCATAGTTGTCATGCTGTCTTGGGAACAATAAAGATCAGATATGTTGGGGTCTATGAGAAATAACAAGTATTGTTAACAGTTGCTGCATAGACTGTCAGAAGTTCATATCCAGGAACTTTCCCTAAATCTTCTAAAATCAATTTAATTGGAATAATTGTAATCTATTTATTTTTCTAGAGCAATAATTTGGAGAAGAGTTTAAATCTTATAAGTACAAACACTCAAATTGCTAATGCTGTACAGATTGTTTGCAGTGACATTGGACACAATCGCTTTTCTCACTCTATTTTTCTGATGTGTAATGGTGAATATGATCCTCCAAAATCATATTATTTCAGTGCATGTAAATATGCACTTGAGTATGAAACATATCTGATTAATGTTTTGTGACGTAGATGACTTGCAGTGTGTAGTGCAGCTGATTCATATTTGTGAAGTTGGAGGCTTTTTGAAACTACAGTTGCTAGTGAGAAAGAAAATGTATAGCTAGTGTTACCTTTTCTATGGTGCCTTACCTTTTTTTATGTAATGTGTTCTCAATCTTCATTTTCTTACCTCAGGGTTACTTGAACTTGTTACTTGTTCGTCTTCTGGTGTATGTAATGGCCTCAGTTCTACCTGTGGAACATAGGAATTTGAGGTGTATTTGAAGCTAAAATGAGTAATCAAGAAGGCTTGTGATTTCCCAGCTGTGAAACAAGCATTCTGACAAACTTCAGCACCTTAGGGATAGTTTCTGCCTGCTGAGTCTTGTGGCTTCTTGAGCATATTTACACAGTGGATGCTTCCAAGAGGGAAGTCATCCACCTGAATTCAAGCCCTCTCAGCAAATAGATCTGTGTTCAATCTAAAAAGCTTGCTGGTGTTATGCTAGACATTATTAAAAGAAAAATGGAAGGTCAGGCTGGGGAGGGGAATGTGGTGGGTGGATAAAAGATGGGAGGCAGTTCCAGACTATCCTTGGGGGAGGATGATAATGAATTAAATTTAGGCAAAATGGAGCACTTTACAATTGCAGTGAATTTAGCAATGGTAACTGACCTAGGTCCCTTGTAAACTTTGCCTATCTGCTTGGCTACCTACTAAATCAAGCTCTGAAAATGCTACAAAAATTTGAACTTCATAAGATGAGCATAATAGTTCATATCCTAATGGATTGTCAGCTGCTTAGAACTGCATTGTGAAAATCTCTTCAAAACAAAATCCAACATTCCTTTCAAAAAGCTATATCAGAGCTTCCTCTTATAGTGTCTTCCAAAAATGAGTCTTCTGTGAAAGGTTCCCTTTCTCGAAGTGGCCTTTTCCTTCAGCTAATGGAGCTTTATTTTAAGGATGTCATTCATGTATGGGGAAATAGTTCTTGTGCTCACTGTAGGTGATCTGAATGTTTCTTTTTGATTTGAGGTTTTTAACAAATATTACCAAGACAGATGGTCTGTGTGATGTGGTATAAGCTGTTTTTAATAGTTTGAGTTTACCAGAGTAAACCTGCTACCAGAATAGAAGAGAATAAGGGGTTCTCAGATGTACAGAGCAGGCATTGACTTACCTTGTAAATCAAGTAAATTGAGTTCATGTGCCAGAGTAGTTTTAGAGAACTATTTCGATTGCACTTTGAAACCAAATATATTTAATTCAAGGCCTTACTTGTAGGCAAGCATGTGAAGATTTGGGCAACACTGTATAAGCCGATTTCCTCGCTACAGTCTTCAGGTACTTAAAATAAAACAAAAGATTGGGCTGAGGCAGCATAAGCTACTTCTAAACTGTATGAGCAAACACCTTCCACTTCTGCTTCCAGCATCTGTTTTTTAATACGTCTTCTGTGTCTCTTTTTTTTTTTTTTCCCCCCAGTCCAAGCCATATATATTTGACCGTGTATTCCAGTCAAACACATCACAGGAACAAGTGTACAATGATTGTGCTAAAAAGATTGTCAAAGGTAAGGTGGAACTCTTAACAAGAGCCAACATGGATAATAGCAGTACAAAATCATCCTGTAGTTGAGCTGATAAACTATGTCAATGCTTAACCTGCTGTTTCAGTCGATTGCAACATTTGATAACATTTACCTGTCATGTTTTGGTTCTTTTTGCAGTTCTCTGCAAAAGATTGTTTAAAACAATTTGTCAGAAATTAATTGGAAGAACTCTTATGAATAGGTTTTCGTTTTTCCCCCTAAATTTATTGGTTAAAACATCCTACATTCGTTTGTTTGGAGGAATATAAGAGCTGTCAGAATTGGCCTAGTAACTTCAGAAAATCAAGTCTTATCACAAAGAACGTTATACCACAGTAAGCTGTTGTAGTAAGCAATTAGCTAGTTTCCTGAAGATAAAATTGATTAATTTCTTGAAGATCAGTATTAAGTTCTAATTGACACAACTTTAATAAAGCCTTGTCAGAAACCCCTGAAATATCAACTGTTAGTCACAAGAGAAGATTGGGTAAATGTAGGGGTTTCTTGGTCATTAGAAAAGTGAATTGCTGTGGAAAATCCATGCTGCTGCAAGTACTTAACCCTTTAATGAGTTAAATAGTAATCAGGATTAGATGAGAAGTTTGCCCCTTTAAAAACTGGAGTTAACTAAGAATTATAATGCTGCCCCTTTCCTCCATCTAAAAATCTGATCTCTGTTTCTGTGCGGCATTTCTAGGCTGTGCTGCATCAGGTGGCAAAGGAGCTCTAGTGGTGTTACAAATGGATTACGGATGTGATGGGGTGGCAAAGACTTCCCCATTTGGAGTTTCTTGTGCTTGTTTTTGGAAAATAAAAGTTTGCTTGCAGGATGTGATTCTACAGTAACTGACTTGTAAACAAACCAACCCGCCAGCCCCTCACCCCCTGAATCTGAAACTTTAGGGTTGTTCATTCATAATTTGAAATACAAGCTTATGGCCAAAGAGTAAGATACTTGAAACTTAACAGCATAGCCAATTCTCTTTGCAATTGGACAAATAAACTGGGCTGAAGGCAGACAGTATTATAGCGTTCTTATGTATGATTTCTTCTGAGTTATCAAAGACTATCTGTTCAGCCTGGCAGTTGTAGTGCTTTCCTTTTTGTTGCTGACTCTGAAGTCCTGATTTTTCTGGTTGAAGGAACAGATGCTTCTAATACAGAAAATTTCTAAAACGCAGTCAATGATGACTTAATGCATTAAAAGAGGTACGGAGGAACACCCTCCCTCCCCCAACTGTAGCACAGACTTCCCAAACATTGAATGATTTAACTTGCTGAACATTTTAGGAACTGCCTGCTTGCATTATATTTCGTTTGACTTTCCTTTTAGAAGGAGGAAATGAACCCTAATGAAAATAAAAAAAAAAGATGTACTTGAGGGATACAATGGTACAATATTTGCTTATGGGCAAACATCATCTGGAAAGACACACACTATGGAAGTAAGAAATCTTAAAATAATTTTCCTTTTGATGTCACTGTCATCTCTTTTCATCACAATAATCTTATCTTTCTAGACATAGGATGTCTGCTTGTTTTCATCTTGCAATTTTAACTTACTTTGCCTTTCCATTGCAACATTTTGATACCCAAAATGTTTTTTTAGGATTGAGAATGGCAATTTTTGGTATTTTTTTCAGCCCTCAGTAGCAGAATGAGGAACACAAGAATAACATTAATAGTACTTTTTCACTTTTAGTAGTTTCTAAGGCTGTTCTTTTCATTCCTGGCAAATGCTGGGGCTAAATGAATGGTCAAGACTTTACTTTGTAGGTAAAATAAATGCATCGTACCAGTCAGCATTTTAAAACTAATTTCTCTGTTAACTGTTTGTTTTGCCTTTGGATACTGTTTATGATGTTGGATTCAGTATGAATGTTTCAATTTTATTGTATCTTTTTGTAATAAGGGGAAGCTTCATGACCCGGATGGAATGGGTATTATTCCAAGAATAGTGCAAGATATTTTTAATTATATTTACTCTATGGATGAGAATCTTGAGTTTCATATTAAGGTAAACTTTTCTTTATTGTTACTTATTTAATCTTTACTAAAACTGGAAGTAGTCTATGGTTAAATGGATGTTCTGTATCTGTTTCAAATGCCTGTAGCTTGGAAAATCTAAATGTGAGTTATTTCTGAAGTAACTGACTCTTCTTAAAGAAGAATTATGTTAACACTTTAATCTTGTTTCCATTAAACATTAATGGTAGCTATCCTGATAACCTATGGCAGTGCTGATAGCGTTTGAAGCTTTTGATCAAAATAGTTTCTTCTTAAAGGTGTATTTTAGTTCAGCCGTAATGACTTGAGCTAGTTGTGATATTATGTGGGAGGTTGTAATAATCATGCTGGATCTTTCTGGTTAAAAAGCAAAGCATTTTTTCTTTCTGATGCTGTATCTTTATTCCCCTTCCCACATCTAGGTGTCATATTTTGAAATATACTTGGATAAAATAAGGGACCTTTTGGATGGTAAGCCTTTTATTTATATTGAACATAGAAAATAAATTGTTCTGGAGAGAGATATTAAAAAAACCCCAAACAAACCTTGTCATGATACTAAGATAAATATGCAATATGCTAATAACCTATACATGATAAGGGTACATAAAAATGGGAAAGAAAAAGAGTGGAGCTAATCTATGTAATATTACTAAAGCTGCAGTAGTGCTGTTTCATGTATATTAAGTTTTTATAAAGTGGTGCTGAGAAATAACATCTGTGACTGAGACATGTCGTACACAGCTCATTCATTTTGCAAAGAAATCATATACACCTTAGCTTTACAACTTTTTCTCTTCCAGTTTCAAAGACCAATCTTTCTGTTCATGAGGACAAAAATAGAGTTCCCTATGTAAAGGTGAGCATCAATCTGATATGTTTTCTTCTTGCACTCCTCTAGTGTAAGCCACTTACTTCTGGCTTGTTGGTGTGGTGATGTTTTGCCTTTTTTTTTTTTTTTTGAAGGGTTGCACAGAACGTTTCGTATGTAGTCCAGAAGAAGTTATGGATACTATAGATGAAGGAAAATCAAACCGACATGTAGCGGTTACAAGTAAGTATTGTCTTTTGTCTCCTTTTAGTGCTTCTGGTATGTTTTAAAAAGTAGGGAAGGCAAAAGTAGTGAGCTAAATAATTCAGATTTTTTAAAGGGTCTAGCATAAGCAGTGCCAATGTGTCTTTCAGAGACAAGTATTTCAATTCATTTCTTGTTAGATGATGTTGTTTAGACTTCAATTGAAAGGAGGAAGTGATCAGTGAGGAGCTTCGAATCATTGGAGAAAAAGGTGTAGTTCTGTGTTAAGAATGATGCAAAATCCCGGTTTGTGGAATTTATTTCAATTAACCTATGAACCTATAAGTTAAGGCACTGTGACTCGTCTACAGTTTGGCCATTCTGTTGCATACTCGAAGAAAAGCTGGTCAGAATATATATTCAGACATGCTGCAGATTTAAGCAGCATCCCAGTGTCGCAAGCTTTTTGGCCTGTGGCATACAATTGAGTTGCAAGGAGCCATGTCATAGGGCTCCAAATTCCCACAAGAAGCAGGATTAGAAAGTGACAGAGGTTTTTTTAAAAAAAAAAAAAAAAAAAAAAAAAAAGAGGGAGACAAGGAAAGATGAGGTGCATGCAAAGTAATACTTTCAGTTCTTAGCAACTGAAGTGACTGTCAGAAGTCTCTTGAAAGCCAGTTTGAGGATGATTTTCACAATTTTCCTGTGTCTAGTTTGTTATTCAGGAAAAGAGAGAATATACAGTCATTAAGAAAATAAGATTTCTAATTGATTAAGGATTGAAAATAAAAATACGATGTACCCTTTAAGGAATGACTCAGTCCTGCACTTCCACTTCATTGCTCCTAGGTAGTAAGGTTCTGATGTGGGGACTAGACTAAGTAACAGAGAAATAGCAGAAATTTGGATAGAAGGGTATTATTCTGTGTTGCACTGCCCCTGTGGCAGCAATAAGCTGGTCTTTTTAGGCCTGTGAGGGCTCTATGGTTAAAAGGAAGAAGAAATAGGCAGATGTTCTCGTTCAGATTGCAGTCAGCTTAAATTTTGTTAATGAATTAAAATAATTCTTTAAATTCGATCAGTCTTGTTTACTCTGCGTGTTTCACAGCAGAGGGGGCAGTAGGTATTTAAACAAGAACGGACTAAAAGGTTATGGCCATCTAGTTCAAATTTTCACAAAAGCATAAAATGTGATATGTTGTAAATCTACCAAAAAGAAAAAGAGTATATTCTGGTATCAGAATGTAAATGTGCTTTCTGTTCTAATAAAGTAAATTAAATGTGTGAAATCCATAGCTGACAGACTCGCAAATCTTATCAGTGAGCTTATGTGGTATTAATAGAAGCCCCAGGGACATTGGATCTTTGTTACTGAATTAGATGATACTATTGGTTTTGCTGCCTCTAGTTTTATTGTTATTGAGAGATTACTCTATACAGTTTCATTAGCTTTGGATTTGTTGCTTCACTGTGGGAAGATACTGTTTTGTTAAGTTTGGTTGTACAAATGTTTATTGACGATTTATATATTTTTGGATTATAGATATGAACGAACACAGCTCCCGAAGTCATAGTATTTTTCTTATTAATGTAAAACAAGAGAATACTCAAACAGAACAGAAACTAAGTGGAAAACTTTATCTTGTGGACTTGGCAGGTAGTGAAAAGGTAATTCTAAGTTTCTTTTTCTTCTCTGAAAAACTCTGGTTATTCTTTAAAATCAAATATTTTACACTAATATAATACTGATTGTTTAATTGTTGTCTCTGAAGTGTTTTCATTTTGACTTTGAAATGTGGTTTCTGAATCCTTGTCTGGGTTGGCTATTAGTTACTACCTCTTTAGGCTGATCTGCATTTCTGCAGTGAGGGTTTGTAGGTATGAAATAGGGTAGAGTTCAGTCTCGGTATCTGTGAGGGCAAAAAAAGTGTACAGGTGTGTTGGCTAGCCAGGTACTGGAATAAAAGGAGTTTTATGGATGTGGAATATCTGAATTTTCTTATGTAGTGGTACCAACTTTCTTAATTTTGAAATTCTAATTAACATTGTTTAAAATGACAAGTTGCTTTCCTGTGTCAGTGGCTTAAGGGAGGGAAGGAAATACATACCGTTTTGCTTATTCTGTATCACTTCTTACAGAGTGTAATTAGCCTTTTAAGAACTGGATTTTTGATGTTCTTTTCATCTTTGCTTCTGGGTTAATCCACATCTTTGTCTCCAGCTTTTTTCAGTCTTTTCTGCTTGCTGTTGTCTTTCCCCATGTCATTGTTCTATGGCCTTATTGTTGTCTTTAATCCTGTGTTTATTCTGAAATGTGTTTCTTAGTAATGGTCTTTTTCCTTTAATGAGAATGAAATTGCAAACATTGAAGTGAGAACAAAGTTAAAGAAAAGGGCTAGGTTGCAGGTCTCCTTTCTCTGTAGTTTTGTTCCTTTCACTGTTTACTTAAAACTTTGTTTTTGTGCTTTTCCCAGTCTTTTTAAAATACATTAGGTTTTCTGATTCCTTGTCTTGGGTTGGTTTAAACATAGGCAAATAGAATTGCTTAGTTGTAGTCATGATCACAGCTTGGTGAGAAGAATAGTAGAGGGTTACAGCACTGTAAGTCAAATTCTGCCCTTGAGGCAGAAGCAGAAGAGCTAAGGTAAATAGAATGGTGTCAGGGTAGGGTGGGGGGTTGTTTTGTTTTGTTTTGTTTTTTACATTTCTGCCGATATCTACTTAAGTTCCTAGAGTACTCATATACGTCAGATTCAACCTCTAAAACCTATTCTCACAAATTCTTGCTAACAAAGACTCTCTGCTGTGTTTTCCAGAGGGGATGGTGGTGGTGTGTGGTTTGGGTTTTTGGTTTTTGGGTTGTTTTTTGTTTTGTGTGTGTTTGTTTTTTTAAGGATGACCTCTGGACAAACTATTCATAACACTTAATTTCCTTTTAAGGAATTCAAACTTTTTGACAAACTTCAAACAACTTTTGAAGTTGTTTATTTGACAGAAGTTTTTAACTATGGATTTGTCTTGTATAAAAAGGTGTAATTTGCAAGGAAAATGTTCAATTTGGTTTAAAAAAATCAGAAACATTTTCAAACACTGATGTTTTGAATGAAAAATTGATGGTGAATCAGGGAA